AGCTCTCCCTCAAGTACTCCCTGCACAGGGAGGGCACCACTGCCCTGCTAAAGGTGGTGCGTGTGGACACTTGGTAGGGTGGAGCCATGAGTGCCATGAGTCACCTGAATCCTGGATGCTTAACAAAGGAGAGGCTGGGCATCCACAGCAAGCATTTCCCTGATGCTCTGAGTGACCTCGCTCGCCCTTGCAACGTGCCCCACTTTGTCTGCAGCTTTCCCCCACCACTCCAGGGTGGCCTGCCTCTTCTTTGTGGGGATGGGGGCTTTGAAGTGAGAGGGGAACTTCTTTTTGGGCATGCTCCCACTGGTGCCAGGCTGAGGAGGAACAAGGGCAAGGGGGTACTGCCTCCTGAGATGCAGCAGCATTGTCATGGTGGTGAAGTGTTTCACCTCCTTGCCCCAGCTGATCTGCCTTTGGCAGTGCTGACAGGTAGCATACCTGGGATTATCTGCCAACTCAAAATGATCCCCCACTACACTACCCCCCACTACTTACTTATCCCTCTCCTCAGGAGGCAGAGACACAACAACAGGGGAAACTGAGTCACCTGCTCCCACAATCTCTGAGATGCCTTCTGGAGAAGGAGACTTGCTTCTAGGGGAACTTTGACAGGTTCGGAGCACAAACTCAGATTCCCCCTCCTTCCCCAGAATTTCCCTGGCTATGGCACTTAGCTCCCTTGCTTCCAGAGCCAGCTTCTCCCCTGGCACTGGGAGGCTCATGCTGGGAGCTGAAATTGGGGAGGAGGAGACTGTCATGTTGGTGGCTATTTCTGGTGTTAGTGGAGGGGATGCAGGTGCAGGGACAGGGACTGCTTCCACCTCCTTGCTCCTACTGGCAGCAGAAGACTCATCACTGCCAGGAAAGAGGGTGCGTCCATGTTTTTGGGGGGGGGACTTGTAGCTCTCCCTCTCCTGCCAGAAGACCTGGCACCTGCCTTTCCAGCACGATTCATAATGTTTGCTGTGCTGGGCCTCTTGAAGGCTCAGATCAAGTGTAGTATCTTGTATGTGTTTACTATATGCGTGGGTGTGCGTCTGTAATATATGTGCTTTCCTGCACAGTGATGGATGACAAGCCGCCAGGGAAAACGCAGCTTTTTAAGAAGTGTGGGAGGAAAAAACCAAACAAGAATAAATAAAAGCCACTCAGAGGGTGGTGGTGGATGGATCATACTCGACTTGGGGGGAGGTGGGTAGTGGAGTCCCCCAGGGCTCGGTCCTGGGGCCTGCGCTGTTCAATTTCTTCATCAGCGATCTTGATGCTGGGGTGGAAAGCAACCTGTTTAAATTCGCTGATGACACCAAAATTTGGGGGGAGGTGAGCACGCTAGCAGGGAGAGAGAGATTGCAGAAGGATCTGGATAGGTTACAGGGGTGGGCAAACAGGAACAGGATGTGTTTCAATACGGACAAGTGCAGGGTGCTGCACTTGGGTAGTAGGAACCAGCAGCACACTTATAAGATGGGGAGCTCCCTACTTGAGAGCACGGAGGCGGAAAGGGATCTTGGTGTCATTATTGACTCCAAGATGAACATGGGCCGACAATGCGAGGTCATGGTTGGCAGGGCTAACCGGACCTTGTCGTGCATCCACAGGTGCATCTCGAGTAGAGCCAGGGAGGTGATCCTCCCCCTCTATGCGACGCTGGTCAGGCCGCAGCTGGAGTATTGTGTCCAGTTCTGTGCGCCCCATTTCAGGAGGGATGTGGACAACATGGAGAGGGTCCAGAGGAGGGCCACCCGCATGATCCGGGGACAACAGGGCAGACCCTACAGTGAGAGACTGCGGGACCTGAACCTATTCAGCCTCCACAAGAGAAGGCTGAGGGGGGACCTGGTGACCGTCTATAAACTCACTAGGGGGAACCAGAAGGGTTTGGGGGAGACGCTGTTTCCCCTAGCCCCCGCTGGCATAACAAGGAGTAATGGGCACAAGTTGATGGAGAGGAGGTACAGATTGGACATCCGAAAAAACTACTTCACAGTTAGGGCGGCTAGGAGCTGGAACCAACTTCCAAGGGAGGTGGTGCTGGCCCCTACCCTGGGGATCTTTAAGAAGAGGCTGGATACTTACCTGGCTGGACTCATTTGAGTCCCGTTTTTGTTTTTAGGGTGAGTGGTTTTGTTTGTGTTTTTGGGTTGTTCTCCCGCCCTGGCGGGGGGTCGGGCTAGAAGATCTATTAGGTCCCTTCCGACCCTAAAACTATGAAACTATGAAAATA